ATATAATATTAATTATATCAAACAACAAATATATTAAAAATCAATCTGCAATACATCGCTGAATTTTTGTCCCAATTTATTAATCTCCATCTGTCTAGTAATTTGTCTATCGTCGTTTAGACTTTAACGTAACACGAAATATTACGGGTCTTTATGGCAAAACTGCCGATAGTATAAATCAAGATCTGCGCATTTGCTCCGGAGACGAAGTTCTGAAAGGACCAAAGTTTGTTTTAACATCATCGCAACTTTAGCTCGCGCGGATTTGCAGGGCGCAATTCACACGCGACCGCCCGCCGTTTCGCGTGTTCCTAATTCCGGTGTCGGTTTAATGGCGAGCGTACATCCGCAACAATGTACTTTTGCCGCGGTCGTATCGGTTTATGGTGGTCGCGACGTGACCGCGCCGACACTGAACGTGCAGTTTTCCCGGCGACATGTCACCGTGTTTCTCTCTCCCATGTGAGTTGCCGCGGTTAGACCGCTGACAACAATTTAAACCATTATGAGACAGAGCCGTGAAATTATGATCCCGAATCTACGAAGGTGATTTTCCATTAACACTTCGCCAACGGACATTCCGAGCGTTGCATTTCAAGCTTGAAAAATGTTCAAGACGAAAAAAAGAATGTTGGTCTGAATAAAAAAAATTGCCCAGTAATATTTATTAAAGATGATGAGAATAAGTTTAAAAGTTTGATGCTATAAACAAATCATTAATTAACTTTGGTCACGTTTTATTTATCTGTGTAAAAATTTGTAAATTAAATTAAAAAGAATAGTATTTTATACATCTTGAATGACTTTTTTCGGTTTTTGGTTCTTTCAAGAAAAAACAATTGATGATTTTTCCATTATAATGTAGTATAAAAGAGAATATCTCGATCCATTAAATAGTTTTGAACAGTTCAATCGCAAAAGAGAACATCGAAAATTCGCGAGTCAGCCAAATCGTAGCAATAGTAATGCACGGAATGTGTTTGGTATCTCTCGGAAAATTCATGGATGCCGAATCTCGAGGGGAACCGCACGCTCGCGCTTTATATCGGTACGAAGCTCAGAACTTTGTCGACGCGATTCATCGTGGGATGCGTACGCATGACTCTCGATATATATATGTAAACTGCGTAAAAAAAAAAAATTATTTTATTAAACCTATTTTTAATAAACCTTTTTTTCATTTCGATGTGAATTACTAACACTTTACTTGCAATTTGCAGCTGTTATTTTTATAAAATTAGAAACAAAAAACATTTAAGTATTTTCCTTAAGGGCTAAAATAATTGCGAATAAAGGCAACACATATCTTAATAAAAATAATTATCAATTTCTCAAATATATATATCTCGAGTGCTTCGTAAAATATCAATTTATACAAAAATTAACGCAAATTCGACGAAACGTAACGCGTATCAATGTTAACTTCTGATTTTCGAACATATCCGCGGAATCGCGTCGACGTATCGAGAGCGATAACAACAAAGTTTTACCCATACTGATGCCAGAGCTGGACGGATCCTCGTTCTTGGCGCCCCAGCTGCCAGCCAGGTTGAGCGCCAGCAGCGGCCGTTCCTTCAGCAGCTCGGCCACCGAGGCGAGGCCCTCGCATCCGCAGCCTAAATGGGGCAAGTGCAGCGCCTGCACTTGAATGCAGCCGCGAAGTGCCTCGCAGACCCGGGACACTTGCTCGCCGGACAGATTCATGTCGAGCACCAGTCGTGACAGGCTGCCGGAGGCGTGGTTCAGGCCGCGACAAAGAGCGTTCACCACGCACTCCAGTCTGAAATCAATCGCGTTAATTACGTATTTATTATTATCATTAACGAGACATTATCTAGACACAATAAGAATAATTTTAAACGAATGAACGAACAAATAAAAATAAAATTTAAATTATATATCTTTTTTTTTTTAATTAAAGAGAATAAAACTCTTATCGTTAGACGTTTATAGATTTTCCAAATCAGAAATGTACAGGACATGTGTATTTATAGATTTTCCAAATCAGAAATGTACAATACATGTGTATGAAAGAATAATGTTGAATTATTCTTCTGGAACTTCATAAATCGATAACTTTGTTAAATTAAAATACTCTCATTGTCAGACATATCTAGTCGATTAATTGTCCCTCATAAATTTTAATCATGTTAGAGCAGCTTTTAGGGATTATCATATCGGTTTACCAAAAGAGTGCGAGTAACATTACGGTTGTTACATGTGCATTTGAGTTTGAATTATGTCAAATGGAAAGAGCGCGAGCGGATATTTCCATCGGCGTGTTACGTTCCAACAAGTTGGAAAAACTGCGACGTGGTATGCGGTAATAGCCGGGATTCGGGAAAAGGGGAATGCATTTTCGAAGCTTGGCTTTTACGTCACGCACACCCGACGCAGTTCCGGATCTGTAACCGCACCCGGATACGACCGATGTAAATTCGGCCGACGCGCCGAGTCAGCAACGCGGAAGTTCAACGCGGACTCGTCGGCGTATATTTATGCATGTATAATGCGCATTTCACGCTGTCTATTCGCAGCGTTATTCCTCTGGCGGATCTCGACGAACGTTGCGCGGATACATTACGCATTATGTAAAGTTTCAACGCTCCCCCGGGGAACGGTAAGCGAGAGCCTGGATTTTCTCGCGTGTGGGATGCACTAACAACAAGCGAGAGAGAGAGAGAGAGTGAGAGAGAGAGAGAGAGAGAGAGAGAGGGGGAGGGGGAGGAGAGAGAGCGGAAAGTGCAAGAGAATGTTCGTGTTTCATCACGATTATTCTGGTACTTGAAAATTGGTTCAAGTCAGTGACGTAACTTCTCTCTCTGTCTCTCTCTCTCTCTCTCTCTCTTTCATAAATAAATTTAAGGAGGAAGAGAAGCGTTACCTCTTATTACTTAAACGATATTCATTATGCTTCTCTCTCATGTATATATCCTCGACACATCTATCTCAATAATCTGAATAATATAAAAATGAAAATTTTAAAAATAATAAAATATAACATATGAATGGTAATAAAGAACTAAAATAAAGATTATAAGATTGTAATCCGAGAAATTCTAAATAATGATTAATTTAAAAAACTTGGGTTTTATAAATTCTGTATTTTTTTAAATTATTTTTTTCCCCTTCTACTTCTCTTCCTTCCTTATTCGCATTTTTCCTTTTCTTTCATATTTATTTCTTCTTTTCGATTATCTTTCTTCTTGTTATAAATTTTTTCTTTAGCTAGTTATGTGATCGTGGTCGAAGCTTTCGCGCGGAATTGATTGTTCCGAATTCGACACGCTGGCAAGGGAATTGCGGCTAAGGTGCCCGAGCAGCGTATTTGCGCGAAAAGCGCGGAAACTGCAGTTAAACGCAATTGCAGGCGGACACGATTCTCGTATCAGGATCGTAATATTAATAGGTCGTCTGGGTTTTTCGACATCGTCAGAAAGTACGCAGGAAGAATTCATAGAAGGCGTATCACAACAAGCGTTAAGTTCGTCATATAATCGCCAAATAATCAAATAATCATTGCAAATTCGCGAATTTTAGAAATAATAAATTATAAAATAAATTTCTCGAACGATATCGGTATAATAATGAAGATCTTGATAATACATTGTCGTGCTCGATTATGGCTTTCATCTTGCAACAATCGATAGCTTCGGCAATATGAAATACAGGAGACGGTGAACTTTTCACAAAAATATTCAAGTCGACGATAGTCCAATCGATTCCTATAGTTTGAATAGACAAAGATAGACAAAGTCGATCCTCGAAGCGCGTCGCGTCCAATACAAAAGTGAAGGCTGACGTTATGGAAAGACGATAGAATAAAGCGTAAAGAGCAAGAACAGGCTGGGGTGAAGGTTGAAACAAGGAGATGAAAAACAATGAGACGACCATCGAGAGTAAAAGAGAGAGAGAAAGTTTTCTACGTTGAGGCAAACGATAGTTAGGTATTCTTTTATACCTCTATTTTGTAGTTGCATGGTAGACAAGGTACTCCTCTCATGAAGCTTGAAGAGACTTTGCGAGAAAAGGATTGAATATTCGCTGAAGGAGAAGACAAAAAGCAGAGAGAACGAAAGCCTAATTACGAGATATTCTGCGTTTGAGCAGAATAGAGCACAAATCTAGAGGAAAATCTACATTTTCCATGTTGCAAATATATAGAGATATATATTGATCCTTTTTCGTTTAATTTCGTTAAACTAGTTTTGATTCAAATGATTTATTTTTGAAACAATTTCAATCAAAGTTTATCAAGTTTGATCTGATCCAAATCGACTCGAAATCTGCATCTTTGTGAAGAAGGATTGAGCTTCGCATGTACAATATACGTAGCAGCGAATAAAGAATAATACTGCGATATATATTGTACAACGGCGGAGAGAAAGTCTCCGGGGAAAAGCTCGAGGCAACGATGAAATCAAAGAGCTTAAAGCTGAGAGATTCAATAAAAAGGTAGACGAAAAGAAGTAAAAAACAAAAAAAGAGTGACAAATTCGGTCGCGAGTTAAGGCGCATCTCGTCTCGTCGTTTTCTTTAATTTTCCGTCGTGGCTTTTTCTCCTCGTCTCTTTTCCCTTCAGGCTTTCTCTCAAGCATCTGCCCGCGCTCTTTACACAGAGTGCACTCTCATTGTTATATTCCGCTCGCGTTTGTAATGGCCAAAAAAGCGGAAGCTCGCGCGCCGCGTTTGGAATATATAATTCGCGAAAGGCAATGCGTTGTCCGAGAAAAAAATTCCTCGATAAGGAAGAAGATAAAGAGGCGCACTCGGCGCCTCTTGACTCCGGAGATGGACGAGATTGAATTTTTAAGCGCAAGGTAAAGAAAGAAGGTTTCGCGCACGTAAAATTAAAATGTCTATTGAGAGATCTCTTTTACTGAATCTCGCTTCGCGGAATGGTAACATTTGTACAGAGAATACTAAATGGCAAACGTAATTACAGTTCGCAAAAATTTTTTGTCAATTCGCGTGCCGTGAAATAAATGAAAATGTGAAAAAAAATTTTAAATAATTAGAATAAAATAGAATGAGAGTTTGGAAAGATACAAGATAAAACAATAAAATTTACTCTGTAAATCGATCTTATTTAAATTTAAGAGATATCTCAAATAACATTTTTAGAAAAATCATGCGATGATCGTGTGTGTGTGTGTGTGTGTGTGTCTAAATAATTTTTCAGATTCTATGCGTCTGTTCAATTTTGAAATCGATGTCGACGCGATAGGAAGCTCATCGGTAAATCGAGAAGTTTACGCGAAAACTCGCCCGCAGAAGTACTTTCTCCATCTCCTCGGAGACATAGACATGGAAAGGGAGAGTAACTTGGAAAGCGTCTCGGCGGGATCGAAAAATATAAAGCCCGAAGACGAGAAAGACGCTGTTGGCACGCATAAAAAGCCAGTAAAGCTCGAGTTAAGTCGAGAAAACAAGAAATTAAAATCCATCACGAAAAAAACAACGGAGGCAAGAAAAACATCTCGTGAAAATCTTTTCAGGGATGTCTTTAAAGGCGTCTCTTGCATATTGCGTATATGCCATAATCGCATGTACACGCATCCGTCGCGTGTACAAATGCATGGAACGATTTTACTATATTCAACCAAATAGTACACAGAAAAATATACGAAGAAAAAATGCAAATTAGAAAAGTTGATATATAGAATTCTATCTATGATAAACTCGTAGTCTAATTATCATAACGTAGAAATAAAGCATTCGCCATTTGTGCGAAATACTTGGCAATGCGAGTGTTTTAACGTGCAAAATTTAAAATTTTCTTTTCGATGATTATTCTTTAATAACAGGAAGATATAAATGACGCTTTTTCCATCTCTGCTTCTACTTTAAAAAAAATTCACGATAATGGCTTTTATCAATCGTTTGCAAAATACATGGCTCCTTCATTTTAAAATCGTCATTAAGTTTCTCGTAGGTCGAAAGTCACAGATAAAAATGATTTTCTTCGGCGAGATGGGGTAAAACTATCACGTATGCAAGCGAGCCACGCCGCAACTGTGCAAATATATATTCACACTCCGATTCTCGCAAGGTAAACACATTTTTTTTGACGTCTACTATTCACTCCTTTCAGGCGAAGACAAATATCTGCGCAATGGACCTTTTCGTCGCCCTTCGCCGCGCAACAAAACAAATTTTTCAATTTTGACATCTCCGGGAATCGCGCGAGCTTAATGGAAATTTTAGGGGATGGCGGGTTTAACGATAAATCCTGATGATTTAATGCTATGTATAGCGACAGCCAAATCCTTATAATGTTCACGGATATTACGAATTCATGATAACGCAATTTATATTGTCTATGATTATTTATGACAAAGAAAAAATCAATGAAAATAATATAGGATAATATATTAATTCGTAGTTTTTTACGAAAACTTATAATTCTTGAATATTGAATCTAAATAAATTACTCGTTCTCAAAAAAGATCAATCTATGACTGTTTCTTTCAAAATTGACAAGAGAAATCTCGATATAAATGTATGAATTTATATGTTTAAAGAATAAATTATTTTTATTTAATTTTATTTTTTTAGGCATTTTTTCTCGCTTTGTATTGATTTTTTCATGTAAGAATCTAAAAATAAATCTCTCGTATTTTGCGCTTCTCTTCACGGCATGGACGAACAAATATTCTTGACGATTTGTCCTAGCAGACTTCATAGCAACCGAGCACGCTTTCTGTAATAGGTCTTCGTCGTCGAGACTATCGACGGCGCCGTACCAGCGTCGTCGAGGCACAATAACGCTGACACGTCCGCCAGGCTTTTTATCCTTCTGGCTATTGAATCGCGCGAGCGAATCGACTCGATGACTCGAGCCGTAAAGTGATCGGATACTTTTCGACGTGGAAGAAACCTCGTTGTTATGATCTAATGTTAATTGAGAAATTTTGCGGAACAAGAGCGCGGAAATTTTAGGCAAAAAATTTTGATTGCAATAAAATAAAAGATTAATAATTAAATAGCGAGAAGCGATAAAAAAAATTAATAAAACAATAGAAAATAAAAAACAATAGATAAGTAAGCAAATAAATAAAAAAGCAAAAAGAAATGCTATAAGTTTGTCAAATAATCTTTCCATGTATCTCGACAATTTAATTATTACTCGTCCGAATATACATAGTTTATTGTAAGAGTTGTTTGAAATCTTGAGGAAAACGTCGGATAACAATCTAAAGCTCGTCTGGCTAAGTGAATATACTAGTAAAACGACTCACCTATCATGGGCCGCCTCCTCGAGACAAGTGATGACAAGCTCGAAGTCGTTGAGCTTCTTTTTGCCGAGCACGCTCTTCAGGTGTCCGGCCAATCGTTGCGCCTCGTCCGCCGGGAATTCTTGTCCCAGCAGAGACGTGATCCTGACAAGTTTGACGCTCTCGTTGCTAGCGAGAGCGTCGAAGAAGTCGTCGAGATATCGGGGATCGGATCCTCGTTCCACTTGAAACACTACCTCGAGCGCTTCGAGCGTGCAAGCGGGACTTTCGAGAATCCTGGCCCATCCCTCTAGCTCTAAGGGAGACGTATGAACTAGCGGGGCCGGTGGTCGTTCGTTGGGCGCGGGCCCGAAACCAGGACCTGCCCCGACTAATCGGCAGACCGCCGAGATGTTGCCATCGGACGCGCCGGCCGCCTTTAACAACGAGAACACAGCTCTAGGTGGCACTTCCAACGGGCATAATTGGTTCAGGATTAAGTGGGTCTTGGGACCAAGCAGGCCGGCCAGGTGACCGATGATGCCCGAGGGCAGACCCTCTAATTCGCGGCGCAGAATATTGGCATATTGCGCCACTGAAGTGAGATAGTACGCCGCCAGGAACTCCGCTACCGCCGTGTGAATTGGCGTGTAGAGATCAGGTTTGCGTCTCTGGCCAAAAGTTAATCCCCTGGTCAGGAAGCCGAGCCGCGTGACCTCAATTCCGCCGCCTCGCGCCCTCAATTCGGCTTCCGTATAACAGCATCTGTTTTCCCGTAGAGCGGCCAGGGACACCTTGCCGAAGTCCTCGAGGCGCTTCCTGCAGTGCCCCGGGATCTCTTCGTTATAGGGAATCGGCGGATCTAAGCTCCTCTTCACGATGCACTTGACCGCCGCTTGTACGAGAGCGCTTGTCTCGGTTGGTAGACTTCCGGAATCCTGTCAAAGTAAAATCGCGTTCATGGATCAGGCCGTTTCAGCGTTTTATCTCTATCATTATACGGACAATAAATATATGTATAAACGTATCTTATTAATAATTAAACTATAATTTATTTTAATCAATCATTAATCTAATAATTTTTAATAAGTAACTTTTATAGAAGATATTCGGAGAATTTTGCAATTGCAGCAAAATCGTCGCTACTATTCGATGAAAACGATAAAAGAGTTGACTATCAATTATTCAATATTATAAAAGAGTTTATTTTTTTAATAAAATAAAAAATCTTATGTTCAATAAGTAGTTTATAGAAGTATAAATTTATTGCTAAAGTAAGTTTAATATGCTGTTAGGAAAAAAAACTATCTACTGCAAATACAATTGTCTCAAATATAAAAAATCATAAAAATTAATTAGTATAATTACAGCATCGTAATCTAAAAAATAATTTCAAAATAAACAAATTTTTAAAATAAAATATAATTTTATAATTAGTCCAAAATGATTGTTTTAGAAAATATTTGAAAGCAGCTCTGATTTTTAACTACTTTTCTTTATATTGTAATAATAATGTAATAATAATAAGAACAAAAACGTTTCGATATTTATGAAGATAATTCCTACCTGATATAGGCAGCAGAGCATGATCCACCCGAGCGGATGCTGGCCGAGTTGCCTAATGGATTGCGGTTGTACATTGAGCGCCTCAAGGAATTCGCAGGCCTTCTCGGCAATGTCATTGTGAATAAAGTAGGCTACGCAAAGTCGCTCAACGTGTGGCCATTCGAGACCGGCCAGATGGATCCTGCGCTGGACCAAGGGCGCGAGGGCGGTCGAGTTGCTGGGCGAGCACGTGACCAGGATCCTCGCGTCCGGGAACAGTCGACCCTCCAGCAGATCGGCCGCGTCGCCGAGAGACGCTCGGCCGCCCACGCACTCATCGTAACCGTCCAGAACGAAGAGCACACGGTCCTCCATCAAATGCAACGTGCGCCAGACATGGGCGACCGCATCGCCCAACGCGGCCGTTCTCGGGAACAATTCTCGCGCGAGATAATTTAGGACTGGACTGCCGCGAAGTTCGCGCAGCGGCACGATAAAGGCCAAAGCGGGACCGTCGCTCTGGGTCGCCCACTGATGAAGTAGTCGCAGACAGAGAGTGGTCCGCCCGCTCCCTGGACCACCCTCGACGGCGACCCGCCGCGGCGCCTCGGATACGGTGCCGTCGCTTAGCTGGAAAAATAATAATTCATTTCGCGTAAATTCGCGATGTAATATTAAAAATTAAATTTTTTTTATCTTCGGTAGAGGGAAAAATTGAAATTATTATATAATCAAAATACGATCGATGGAACGCAGATTTCCGTTCATCAAATCATCCCGTATAAGCCAAAGTTTAAGATATTTTCGCACTTCAAAAAAAGTATATAAAATTTTTAAAAGCAAAGATAAATCACAAAATTAGAATATTTTATATAAAAATAAGAAAAAATTTGGCACGGGGAAATAGCATTATAGATCTTATCTTGATTTAAATTTCACTTAATAAGATGCGAGAGTATAAAGATATTATGCATCATTCATGTGGTATTAAAACGATGAAAAGCTATTGCGAATCAACACGCGAATCAAAAACAATTGCCAGACATAGGACCAAAATAAAAGGGGCAAATGCGATGAATTACGGATTGTTTCCTGGAAGACCGAAAACCGATCTTCGATCAAATAGACGACTCGTAGCGCGAAAATAGAGGAAAAAGATTTTAGTCACTTCGTGACCAGCTTCTCGGATACTTCTCAGTTTCCTGATCTCCGGTGTCCGTCCAGCCAATTAGAACTTAAAACGTTCCCCACGAACCACTAATCCCCTTGAGATGGATCAAAACACTCCGGACACTTTATTGCTTGTTACATTCGAGGCCAGCATTCGATACGGATATCTCGCGATATTACATCACGGCATTACGGTAGACAGTGTAGCGAAATATTTCGCCGTGGAAATCGATCTTTACCCGATCGTTTCCTCTTATTTTCGTGAATTTTTCAAGTGAATTTTTTCGCAAATTTATCTTGTTAATTATTGTTAAAATTAGAATTTCCTTAAAGCGCAAAATTTGCGCTCTAAAATATAGTAAAAAATTATTTGCTTTCAAGAGTTTACAGTACGTATTAAAATATTAATACTCCTTCTTTAACAAATATCAATGTCAAATATTATACAGAATAATGCTATGAAACTATCACTTTCAGTGAATCCAGAACAATCTCTAATAAGATAATAATTTCTATACTCATTTAATGATCGAACAGAAAGGCAGCATTCTAACGATGCTCGCGTTAGCATTATGCAAACGATTAACATACACGCGCGATTAAACTCAGCGTACACATTGCCGAGAGCAACACCGTTAACCGAATAGTACTAACAATAAGGTATGCGACGTCGACTGTGGCGGTGTACGATCGGCAGCCGATATCGGCAAACAGTCTCAATTCTGTAATCGATAACAGTAATCCGTAGAACATGGAACACGTGGCATTCGCCGACCATTCACTCTGTCAGCAATAATCTATCCAGTCGCGCGCAGAGTAAACAATCTGTCGGACGATGGATAACAATGCATGGCCATTATACAGTATGCGATTATGACATCCGATTCGTTGGGATACCGCGGATATAGAAAAAAGTACAATTCATCTCTATTCATCGGAGATGTGTTTTTCAAGCAATTTTGAGTCTATAAAATATATATCTGATAATTTTTATCTCATATGCATCTGTATACGAATGTTTTTGTGGGATACCCTATGTACACATATATAAAATGTGTGTATATGTACCAAACATTATCTAGCTAGTTTACTTTTTTGATATTCCACGGATTCATCGATTAATTTGATTTGCTTTTTCTGTAATAAAAATTTAATCACTGGCTTTTTCTGCCTTTATCTCAATTATATGGTTTTAAGTTTTTGTAACATTTAATATTTAAATGTTAATACAAAAGACTATAATAAAATATTAATATTAAAATATCATATTTAATTTTTAATATTTATTCTGAAATATTAAATAAGAACGAATTAAAAAATTGTCTTAAAATAAGTGATTGATATTAATTGATCCATATTAACCGAGAAGGATTAACAAAATGTTGATAACATGATACGAGTTTTTGACAGAATAATGCAACAACGACGTATGAAGAATAGTAAGCTCGTTACCGAATATCTCGTCTAGCGTATTCCTATGTCATGCGGAATCTACCTATCAATTCTTTGCAAAGGCGCATTTGTTCCAGCCGCTTCTCGTTGCAACCAAATTGTGCCAAGAAGCAAGGGGAGAGCAAAGAGAATCTCTCGTGAAAACGTCGAACGAAACGTCGAAACGGTCGCAAGGAGAGACGCAAAACAATAAATCGACCTTGGTTTCCTGGGAGATTAGAACGTCTACAAGCCTGTAAATATCCTTCTATAAACTAACGCAGAGAATGTTGGAGGCAGACATTCAATATTGAATTACGTTGGGATAAGATAGAGTGTTTAATTATGACTGGATACAAAATAGTAAATTTTTTGAAAAAATAAAATAAAGGCAATTTTAAAGATACAGAGACTAACAATAAGTATTTTTATTCGAGTTTTGTCAAGCTATTTTTGTTCCTTCGATATTATTTGTTAATTAATAAATTAAATTAAATTAAAATTGTATTGATCAAATTATACACTATAATAAGTTTATGTTAACGTAATATATATGTCACAGTGTTCACTATTTTCTTTTAACTAAAGATATATCAAAAGGAAAGAATCAAAAACGGTAAAAGCACATCGACAAATTTTCACAAAGGATCAGTGTCCAGCGTTGATATTCATGCGGTAGCGCGGGAGATATCGCGCTTCATTCCGTCGTGGAAAATTTAAGGAGACAGTGATACAGGGAGCGGTGTTTCACAACGACGATGTGTCTCTTCGCGGGCGCATTGTGGAAAGAAACGCGATGAGAAAAATCCGTCGTGCGGAATCGTGCCAGCCAGAACGTGAACGTTTCCAGATATACGTCTCGCGTATCGAAAATGGCAGGCAACGATTGGATCGCAGATCGATCTGTCCAACAGTTGTATTCTCTCTCTTTCTCCGCCGCTCGATTTTTATATCGTTGATTCGATCGCACAAATCGATGCGGTAAAATGCACAAACACGGAATTCCGCGTCCTTCGACGGAAAAAGCGATCACTCGAATAATAAAACACGAATCTCATTGGCTTTTTGTTAGATGCTTTCGAGATATGTCTCTGTATTTTCTCTTGAATTATGCGAAATTTATGAGGATGGAATTTGCAAGCATATATTTTTCTTTATTAATTTCATATCGCGTAAAATCTCATTCATCAATAATTTTAATTAATTATATATTTTTCATATCTTTAATTTATCGGAATTGAGAGACAGAGCGAGAAAGAAATAGAGAAAAGAATTGGCTTTTTATTTTTTAAATTATCTCTTATTGTACCTGTATCTGTTGAAATAGACTCGCGATGCTGCAATTTTCGTGATTGCACGAAGAAGCGAGCTTTCAAGGGTCCATTAGCGAACAGCGACCGCATAACTCGATCCTTTCTTGTATGTGAATATATATCGTGAATAATGAAAAAATACCACGCACCGCCGCGGTTGACTGCCATAATTTTTTTATAGTTCGCGAGTCGGTTGAAAGCGGCGATCGTATTTTTGTGATAAAACGAAGTCGCTGATTTTTCATATTTTTGTTGAAACCTTCGATACTCGATTCGAGGGTCTTAATTGTTTGTTTTTTCAAGTATCAAATTCGATATTTTGATTTCGGTAACCTGGCATCGGGCAAGAGAAGTTTTTTTTCACGAATTATATCCAATACTGGGAGAATCGTTATTTTTGCTCGCAGTGTATACTGATTCGCCCTCCATCGGTTTTACCGATAAATTCTTTGAAAAACTTAAACTGGACACTTTAACAGAAAATTACAAATTATTCTTTTTTTACGTAAAATAATAGAAAAGATATACAATTTTAAACGCAGTAAATTATAAACATAAACAGCCTCAAATGCATTATATGTGTTAATCGATTATTTTATCATCGATTAAAATAGTTTAATAATATTCTTGTATTTTATCGTGTTCATTATACAATATATAGAAAAATCGATCGTAACGTCGAAAAAAAAGAAATATGGTCGCTCGTTTTAATGTGTAAAATATGGAGGAAATTAAAATATGATAAAAAAAAATTATATATGCGTCGCTTTTTATATGTAGTGGCAATAAAAAAAGTTGATAAAATAAATAATTAAACATTTAACATAAAAAAGATTATATTATGTAAAGACACTGAATTTTATTAACAAAAAATAATATTATTTAAAGTATATTCTCTATTCAAAATGAAATGGTTATTATATTTATTTATCAGCTATATGTGGTTAAAAATGTATTTTGTATAACAAGATTTCACATACAAAGCTCAACATCCTCAGTCCAGAAAAGTAGAAGTTATTTATGAAACAAAAGGTGTAAAAGGTGCTTTCTTCGGACTACGAAACGAATAAAATATTATTTAGAAAAAAGTAGCATTGTTTGAAGCATTTACTTTCTTTTATACAGCAGTCTTCTTTTATGTCGGCTCTTTAATTTTTGGTGCACGAGGTAACTGTGATAAACGCGAGTGCATTTGGCGGTCCTAAGAACGATTTCTAAATGTTGTCTGCTCGGCGCATTTTCGTTTATTTTCACGGTGAAAGCATGTCGGTTTTATGACACGGATTCATCCACTTGTACGTGTGGTTCCAAGCCCAATATGTGTGAGTTTGGGTGCCTGCATCTTCTTTCCTTCATATCTTACACAACCCTACGTATGTCCCGACGGTTACGAGACTCATTTTTCGACGCGAGCATTTTCGGACGCGTTGTCTGCATTTTATGAGTTTTTATGTTATATAGCAGCGAATTATCGATCCGAACGAGAGCAATAGATTTTCTCGAAAAAAAATGCACCAACAACAACAGAGTCGCGCTTTTTCAGGCGCTTATCAAAAAGGATTGATTTTAATTTTTCATTTTACACATACGAGGTGTATAAAATAACCGGATTAATGTTTTAAAATTATATATATATATATA